CTAGATTATTTTGGGTAGGTATTCATGCTTTCAATGTTGGGACTGCATTGTCAGCTTCTCATAAAAAAATACATTTTTTTAGCTGAAGAATTTCTTCATAGTACATCTCAATAGACAGAAGACCATCTCAATAGACAGAAGACCATGGTCATCTTCTATGGATGAGGTATTTGCTACTAATTAGTTGTTACACAGTACAATGAGTCTGTTGGTGCTTTTATCAATGGAATAGTTATAGGAATCACACACATTAATTGCATGAGATGCAGTGAACAATTAACTGTTGGGTTAAATGAGGTGATGTTATGGGAAAAATAGCTGGTAAACGTCTTATAATTATCTCAAATGGAAGCTGCATGGGGAGCAAACAGCGGGGTCAATACCTGTATTTCTAGAGGCAATAGAAAGCCACTCATTGGGAAAAAAGTTTAAATAAAAGGAAATCGGGCAAGTCGCCGAAATCAAACTATACAACGGAAAAGACTCAGCAGTCATAGTCGCCTGGAAAAAAAAATCAAAGTTGAAGGCACTACAACTAAATGTAATAGACTATGAATCAACTGAGCTCAACAAAGTACATTGTGTATATTCTGAGCAGGAGCTTCCATACAGGATACAGAGTGTTTTGCTCATAGGCCATTCTTCTGTAACACAGCAGGAGAAGTGTCTCTTATCTCCTTTTGATTGTGAGCTTTGGAACAAATAGCAGGGAACCTGTCCTGTTGGATGTTTAAATACTTTGGTGCAAAACCTAGGGCAGGGCCCTAATTTCAGTTTTTTACATGTCTGCAAGAAGCTGTCATGCTGTTGGAATCTATGTCTGATATACCGGTCAATATACAGAAGTAATAATGAAGGTGAAGAGTTTACTGATGAATGCCTGTTCTGTTTCTAGTTATTACTGGAAATCTCAGCAAAGGATTACAGACTGCTGATTGGCTGGGAATGGTTGCGTTCTTCATATCCTAGTTCTTCCCATAACATTTCATATGCAGGGAGAAAATGGTTATAGCAATGATTTCTCAAAATGCTATAAATGTTTCGGTAACCGGTCCAGTGTTGGTAAAACCTCAGGTGCATGTTGACCTTTGCTAATAAAAATTACAGCTGGTGCCAAAGCTTTTAAAGCCTAACTGGCCCTGATTTATGTTGAAGAGAAACTGAGCTCTGGAAGGTTTACCTCAAAAAAGGTAGAAAGGAGAAAAAGCTTGTCACCGGTATTGCCCGTGGTGGTCTCCCTGCAGCTGATATTTTCCTATTACTGACTTACTATGCCTTGATCTGCACTGCGTCTCTGTATAGAGGGGGCCATCTTGGTAGAGGCAGGGCTTTGCCTCCTCATGTCTGTGCCTCCAGCACGGAGAACAATGAGCACAATAGTACTGACATCATCAAATCTCAATACGGAGACTAGTAGTCAAAGATGGCAGTGCCTTTTAATCACACTGCAGATAAACAGCTATGAGGCTCTAGGGTAGTGTTTCTCAACCTTCTTTTTTTTTTTTTCAGTCACTGCACCCTTTAAAAATATGCAAAATCTGTGGCTCCCCAGTCTAAAATGTCATAGATTTTACGGGGGACCACATGCAAAAATGTACAAAAAGGTGGGTTTCCATCTTCACATCAAAGTGACCCTTCAAATCAAGATTCTTTTCCCTCCTTCAAAGAGTCACTTTTTGTGCATCAGTAGCCCACCTTCAAATCAGTCTTCATTGCCCACTTCACATTTGAGGCACCAATGAGGAGGCCAGAAGGCACACCAGTGTGCCATGGCACCCTGGTTGGAAAGGCTGCTCTAGACACACTGACATACAAGGCAGTGCAGTGCTGTTTTTGAGGAGGAATTCCAGGAAAATGTTACCTTTTTCAGGGTATTGCTTATGCACAATTAACCCATCCTAGGTTTTCTGTAAAACATGACAAATCTTCACTTTTGAGTTCTGTTTTGTTGATTGCAAGACTGATTTGATGGGTTTCTAAATTGTATTATAATTTGTCTATCCCTGAACTGTACACTCCAGGCCAGGTTTTATCCAGTCATTTCAATGGGCTTTTTTCAGATTTTCTGTTTTATTTGGCTACTCATAGTACTGCACCACTTCTTCTTTTTTTTTTTGCTTTGCAAAGTAGATGAGAACAAACTGTCTTTTATGCTCAACCTTACATTCTTGTCTTGTGTGGGTGATGCCCCACACCCAGTCCAGTCGGACACAACCTTTGACCCTACTAAGAATGAAATAACAATATGCTGAGTTGATCTGATGACTGGCATGCCTACAGGCCACTCCTTGCCAATCCCTATTGTTTCAATTCACGTATGCTTCCTTTTGTGTTGAGCCTGTTTATTAACCAGGTAGAATTCTGGAGGAATATTTTCCTGGTCTATATTGATCAAATATTGTGGTATAAAGGTTTATGGAGTTGGTCAAACAAAATCAAATATATTCCTGATCACAAACAAAATCAAATATTTCCTGAATCGGCAATCTCTGGTGTTATTACTTATACATTTTAATATCCAGTTATATCCTGCACATTTAGGAATGTATCAAGCTTCTTTTTTTTTTTTTTTTAATTAACTGAGCTGGCTAGAACTTGTATCTGAGGAAGTCTATTCTACATTTTCACAGCTCTTACTGTGAAAACACCTTTCTGTATGCAAGTGAACCAGAATTCAGTTTTCAGCAGCTAGGAAGAACAGTTTAAGGTAAATGGTTGCCATGGCATCCGGTATATCTTTGTTCTTTGTGTTGTTATTGGTTGAAATGGGTCATGCACAGATGGTGATTGTTACATGATCAGAAGATTTCAGCCTCTTCTTATATGGGTTATACATTTTTCTAGTGTCAAACCTCTGCAAACGAGTTGCTTAGTAGTAGAAGGCTTTTTAAGTACTGTAGTTCTCTGCTGGTGGAGCCAGCACTGTACTAGGAAATTCTGAGAGATACACAAGAGTTCAAATACATGACTTATGACATGAGGCACCAGAGGTATCTAGCAAGTCTTGGTGAGGCCATAAATGACCCTGCCAAGCCCTGAATTCTATATCTTACTATCATGCCTAGGCAGGAATTCTGCTGTTTGGGTCCTAGAAAGTGGTAATGAGCAACTCTGACTGTGGGAAGTGTTTGTTATCAAACATATATGTTGCAGCATTTGTTTCTTCTTCTCCGGAGCTGATTATTCCCGCTTATACCTGCGGAGATGTCTTCCTATTTCTTTCCAGCCTTTGTTGTCATTTGTTGTGCTGTGGTGGGAAGAGAAGGTCAAAGTAGTTCCAGCAGTGTGATGACTGATGCAAGGATGGATAGATTTCTCAATGTGCATCTTTCTTGGTGGATATCTATACATTAATTTTACTTCTATTCTTATAATGAGTAGCATCCCTAACATACTAAACACGTTTGTCTGTTACCTGATTATTGCTAAGCTACCTACACTTAACTGAAATTCAAAGAATTGTTGAGCGAGCTGCATATTTCAGTTAGGTTATAGATGAGCTCTCTCCTCCTGTATTGCCAACTTGCTTTCTTTTCTGAAATGTACTGTTCCTCAAAAATGGCAAACATCCAAACAATCGATGCGAGTACACCAAGAGAATTATAAGAGCTTTTTAGGCACATTAATTAGCTATGAATCTTTACACCCGAGCCACTGATGTTTTCTTGGACAAGACTTGAGGTTCCGGTTGTTCCAGGATACACTACTATTTTTATTTAGTTTCTGTGAGCTACATCCTCTGGTCCAGATATCAAAGACTGACTTTTGTGTTTTATTACCTATGATTTGTCTTTAGCTTCCCTTTTAAGCAGGCCGCTCGCAACCAGATTTCCATCTGTTATGAATTTACCAAGAGGTGTTCAACATGGGGTCTACCGGACAGGATGCAGTTTAAACTGATTGAATGGCCATAACTCTGCATTTTAAATTTAAGTGGACAGAGTAAAATGTATGTGTTCTCTAAATGTACACTGCCTGGCCAAAAATAAGTCACACACTCTAATATTTAGCTGGACCGCTTTTAGCTTTGATTTATGGCATGCATTCACCATGGCATCAGCTTATGCATAAGATGTATTTCCATCTAGAGTTGAATTCATTTTCACCAAGATCTTATAGTGATGATGGGAGAGTCGAACCACTGCGTAGTCTTCTCCAGCACATCCCAAAGATTTTCAATGGGGTTAAGGTCTGGACTCTGTGGTGGCCAATCCATGTGTGACAATAATGTCTCATGCTCCCTGAACCACTCTTTCACAATTTGAGCCCAATGAATCCTGACATTGTCATCTTTGAATATGCCTGTGCCATCAGGGAAGAAAAATTCCACTGATAGAAAAACCTAGTCATTCAGTATATTCAGGTAGGCAGCTGACCTCATTTTCTGGAGACATAACGTTGCTGAACCCAATTAATTATCCTATGGAAAGCTCTTACCTACTTGATCAGCTAAATCCCTGAGGTGACTTTTTTTGGCAGGAAGTGTATATTCAAACAGTCACACAAAGTGGCAGTTTTGATCATGATTGGCATTCTGTTGTTTGGCCTTTCCATGAATATAGGACACTTTAGACTCCAGTTCCTTTTAATAATGACCTCTGCTGCATGTAAAAATACAAACTTGAGTGAAAAGTGTTCATGTATTGCATGCTTTATGTTGTTTTCAGGATACTGACCAGTATAGCCACCTTAGATGCGAATGACTCTAAATTATCTTGTGACCATTTAAATAATAAATACAATGATGGGGGAATAGAGAAAGTGTACTCTAATAGACTGTCAGGAAGGCAGTGCAAAGACCAAAGAGGATGGGCATATGAAGTGATGCCTAGCAAACCCATCAGATTGTGTTTATTTGGGTATAATAAGTGAAGTATGATTTATCATTGGTTGGTTGTATTTTGCTCATCTTTAGTGCTCTTAGCACTGAAGGGCCACAGAATGGGATTTTGTGATTTTCATTAATGAGTCCATTTTACGTTTTGACTTTGTGTTTGCAGGTTGAAAATATCCTACTTCATGACCGCGGTCACTACGTCCTGTGCGACTTTGGAAGTGCAACAAATAAATGTCAAAATCCCCAGACTGAAGGCGTCACCGCTGTGGAGGATGAAATCAAAAAGTAAGTTCGAGATGACCAGATTTACTCATATAGCTTTGTTAAATAACATGGGTCTTGCAACTTGGAATCCTCACTATGAAATATATTTGCATTTGGCACGAATTAAGCATTCCGTGACATTTCAGTCATGTGAGAACTTTGCAGTTCACCTTTTAGATTGCCTGGGGGTGCTGCTGTCCTGCTTATATTAGAAATGTCATGTGAATCAGGTGACATTAGATACATATGCTGTTGTTGCGGCCTGTAAAATCCTTATCCCTTTTCATCTAATGTGAACTGGCAGGCATAGAGAGGAATATAGATTTGGGCAAATATATGACATGATTTTTCCTTTGATTCATCTTGGCAAATGGCCATACCAACCTATCATTTCTATTATTGTATTTTTCTAGGGTGTAGATGATGAGTCAATATTTTAATTGTAATCTTTAGATCTAGACTCTCGCAGACATGCTGTGGGGTCTGCAAGTACCTGTGCTTGTCTTCAAATCGGCTATCTCTGTGCATAGGTATAGGTGGCCATACACTGTGCCAATTCGCAGAATGCTTGCCACTGTCGGCACTCTTTGGGCCGGCATCCCTCAATCAGCTGATGGAAGGAGCCGGTTGGAAAATCTTCATACGAACAGAGCTGACAACCAATGAGCTGCCGGTTCTGTTCGAGTCCTCTGACAGAATAGAAAAGAAACAACGGTGATTCCTCGATCAATACGCTCGTTGATGCAGGAATCTTCTTAATTTTTTCGTTCAGCCTGATTGTTGAACAAAAAAAATAGAGCAGTGTATGGCCAACTTTGAATCAGATAGTCTCTACCCATTTCCAGGTTTGTCTGAAGTTAGTGCCTTCTCTTGTCTTTTAAATGAGTGGCTTGTGTCTGGGGAACCCTGGATTCTAGGCTCAGGTTATAGAACATGCCCATGACTTCTCTTCAAGATATAGCCCCGTGCCTGCAATTCAGCAGTCTAATTCCAGGTCTCTCCATGTTCGCTTCTGTGATGGACTAAAATCTCAATACCAATTGGTAAACTAAACGTGAGGTTGTAGTCCATTAAGGAAGCGAGTAGCCCATTACAACACACACAGGGACCATGGAGAACAGAAATAGCCACCCTCCTGAAGGAAGGACAGTGTCGGCACCAATTCAGAGATCATTTGAGGATCTCCAGCCAAGTAATACACAAGCTACAATTATGTTAATAATAGCTAAGGTACTTGAATGCATTTTTAGGATTTAACTCCTGAGTTTAGTGTCACTTTAAAGTCCCACCCCTCCTGGTGCAAAGCTTCACCACCAATCATTCAGCTGTCAACTGCCAGTACCTCTACTGACCCCTGAAACTCTAGAATTGGACTGCTGAATTACAGGCAAGGTGCTATAATCTTTAAGAGAAGTCAAGGGCTTGTTCTATATCCTCAGCCTAGAATCTAGGGTTCCCCAGGCACAAGCAACTGATTTAAAGACAAGGCACTGACTTGATAGAAATACTGAGATACTGTGTTTGAAGAAGCTTAATATCTTGCTGTAAGAATGAATGCAGAGTCAAGCAGGGACTTAAATCATTTCTTGTCTCTTTCACTTCTACAAAACACATTACAGAGGTGTGTTTTGGAAAGCTCATTATAGAGCTTCGAAAATGATATATTACGCAGTCCCTAAACACAATTCCTGAATGTTGATTTTAACTAAATGCAATTTCCATGTGAAATTTTTTTCCCCCTGAGAATGTTATCCTGCTTGGTGTTCTGCTAATATGTCTGGGGTAGGTCAGCATTGTTCACTCTTGTGGAAGTTGGGAACGGTTTACTTTTAATCTAGGATTCGTATCCAATGAGCCATTTTGTTTGTCGGCTTCTATTATGGAATTTCTCATAAGCTAGCTAGTGATTTTAAACGGTGCTCTGCTGGAACTAGCCGCACTTTTATCTGGCCATCTGCAAATCACGTTTAATGATGGTGTGACAGCAGTTGTATCATATGTGATATGAGTGATGGCTGAAACTAGCATTTCTCTGACTCTTTGAACATGAAGCAAGAGGTAAACTTCTCAGAAGTCAGACCATATTAGTTGGATATCTATGAAGCCACAGTTTTAATATAGGAAATGTTTTCCTACTAAAAGTAATTTAGTGTTTCCCAAATGGGACTCTTGCCATGTTAAAGTGTGACCTGTTGGAGTGTGATTAAATTGATTTCCTCCCTACATGTCAGCAGTTACGTATTTCAGCTACCTCTGTCCTCTCTTGCATGTATATCCTCTTGTTTGCCAGGTTTGCCCACAATTGGCTGCCACACCACCCTCTGAATTCTTCTGCTTAGTACGCTACTCAACTCAAAGTGGCCAATGCAGTGTGGACCCATGCCATCAATGTTATACAGCTCACAGTAGGAATTAGAAATAAACTGCTATAAGACCAGTGTTGGCAAGCTTCAATACTTTGACATCCGTATTAGATGCTTCTGAGAGAATTCACTGCATGTGTAGTTGACTTGCTTCAGCTGCTTTCACATTCTCATAGACTTATGCAGGAAAACAATTCAGGTCTAAAGCAAAATAAAGCCTTTCAACAAAGCCCCATAAGCTGTTATGAACTTTTGTTTGAAAACTTATGTGAATTATGGTCCTGTGTACTGTGTAGAGGTAGTTACTGTGGAACACCATCTGCTACAATGTCTTGGGTTTTTTTGTGTGAAAATTCTGCTAGTATACGAAGTTAAATATGTGTCCAGACTAATTTATGCTAACGGTCTTTTTTTCTTTAGGTACACCACACTTTCCTACCGTGCCCCTGAGATGGTGAATCTTTACAGTGGCAAAGTCATCACCGCCAAGGCGGATATCTGGGTTTGTAAACACTACTTGCTACGTGTTGTCTAAGACTTGTTGGACTGTTTGTCGAAGCAATTGGACAATGATCACTGCGGAAGAGAACTTTAAGAAACAGTCATAAGAGATGATGTTGCACTGGATTTAAAATGGACATGGACATGGACGCAATCAAAACGACTTTGCCCCATTTGTATTTCTCCCCCCTTATTTACTTTTTTTGTTTTTTTGTTAAGAGTAGATTTTGGCCCACCCCGTCTCCATTCTCGCCTAGGCAAAAATGACATGTCCCTGCTCCTAGAGCCTCCTGGGATATGCACAACTCATATCCCGGAAGGCTTCTACTGAGGCATTACACATCGCTGGCAGATGACTGACACAGTGCTGGAGGAGGGCGGACCTGTTGCGCGTCATCGGGGGTCCAGCTGCCTGACCCAAGATGACAAAACCTCCTACGCTCAGTCTGCTTCCCTAAGTCCCCCCCCCATTTATCTAAATGGCACAGTGCTTCTCCCTGCAGCATCCAGTTTTTTTTAAATTGTAGCCGCTTCTGCTCTGCCCACGCAGTCCCATCATTTAAAGGGATACGGGAAGTCAAGGCAGAAGGACTCACAGTTCACACCTACACAAGTGTGGTGACGTCACTGCACTTGTATAGCTTTGTTCTTCCTCTAGCCCAATTACACATCTGTACCTCTACACTCACCTGGGGCTTGGGGTAAGCAATGCAGGGATTTGTGCATTGCAACCGTGACACACTAATCCCGGTTGCAACGCTCTGCAGGTTGAATACAAACATATAATAAATGCAGGTGGAGGCAGGGCTTCCCGATCATGTGATCTCTGTGATTGGCTAGTCCAAGGTATATCCCACCGCACTCCTGACCGGAAACAAACCCAAAACTTGCGCGGGTGCCGATGCGACCGCAGATGCCTCCACCAATAGTACAAAATCGATAAATGGTCACTCGCACTCCACCTTGATGCAATGTCAATACCTTTTATTGACTGGGATAGTGTCACGTTTATAGAGATGTTTCGGAACCAAGTGGCTCCTTCAGGCACACATAAAGAATCTGTGATTGGCTGTCACATCGGTTACATGATCCTCTTCCAACATACTGGACAATGCTTAAAAATTATCTCTACAAGTTATAGAAAATGTTATGGGAGATATGAATGTAACACCATGTGAAATGTAATCATGTGAATACAGAATTTAGTCTGGGTTCACACCAGCGGTATGCTAATACTGTCCGTTTTAGCATGCGGCGTGTGTCCTCTGGATGGCAGCGGTGTATAGCCTCATTCAGGTCTCTGCACAGCAGCTGGTCCTGCACTAACCTCTGATGTCATTCAGTGCGCTGCGAAAAAAATGCAGCATGTTTCAATTTTTCTGCAGTGGACATAACCCCAACATTGCAGTGTGAATAAGGCTCATAGAAAATATGTGTTACTGGCGTTGACCCAGTGCAGAACACCACCAGTCAACACAACTGGTGTTGTCCCACCAACAACTGGTCATGGACAGTGATGCTGACAGCTCATTCACTGTGCCATGAGGGCGTTTTAACCACAGAACAGCGGGCCAACTGATTGAATGTGTACAAACAGCTTCAAGGCCCACCATCCCTGCTGGCACGTATGTGCGTTATGCCAGTAGGAGGGTGTTAAAGTGTCTTTCCACTTTTAGTGCCTATAGTATTGAAAAAGAGGTGTGAGAGAAGAAAAATTAAGCGCAGTAAGCTGTAATCAGAATCCAACTTGTGCTGGTCTGACTAGCAGCAGAGTTATTCTGATTGGTTGTTGCAGTTTGCTGCCCTTAAGAGAGTAATGATGGTTCATTGAATGATGTCTGCAGTAAAATCAGAAATACTCTTCTGTTTCTCTGTCTTATAACTCTCGTGTCTCTGCCAGGCTCTGGGATGTCTACTTTACAAGCTGTGTTTCTTTACCCTGCCATTTGGTGAGAGTCAGGTGTCTATCTGTGATGGGAATTTCACTATTCCAGACAACTCCCGGTACTCCCATGACATGCACTGCCTCATCCGTAAGTATTTTGTATGCAAAGTTCACTGCTGTGATTTTTACTTTTCACTGATAAAGATCTATTAAATCAATGGGGTGCCGGTACAGGACAGTTAACCAACATCTTTTACAACCATAAGATCGAAACTGTAAAATAATGTTTTTAGCTCATTCAAAAATATATGTTACAGAAGAAGTGATGTTCCCACATTTTAAAGCCTCTTTTGTTGTAGTGTGTATGCCATGGTTCATTATGCTTTCTCTTGTTTTACTACATTGGACAGACTGGTTCCACTGTTCCCAATCAACAAAGATCTGACTTCACTTCCTATGTTTTTATCTTGATTGGAAGTGATGGGAAACCTTTGAAATGGGGGGCTTAGAGAGCCGTATGCCCCCAATAAAAATAATTTTTAGGTTTTCAGGTTCATAATAACAAGCTGTGAATAAGTCACGCTTTGACATGAAGTATTTCATCTGTGTTCTGTGTCTGTGTTTTTCTTTTCTATCAGGGTACATGCTTGAGCCAGATCCAGAGAAGAGGCCGGATATCTACCAAATTTCCTATTTTGCCTTTAAGCTAACAAAGAGGGAATGCCCTGTGCCCAATGTACTTGTAAGTGCCTTTGCTGTTTAGTACAGTGTTTCTCAACCCATGTAACCTCAGGACCTACATTTGTCCTTGGTTATTAGTCGCATTGCACTGTAACACACCGAATTGCGGTACTGCACGTTCCACTGCGGGCTATCAAACTGTGGGTGGGAGGTGTGTTTGGGGTGCCATTCAAATGAATGGCAACGCAACACACTTCCCACACCAGAACACATGGCACAGTGCATTAATTGCATGGGAGTGTGTGATTAACGCACTGTACTAGTGTGAACGGGCCCTCAAAGACGCTGACAGACTCACACAAGCGCAGACACAATTTCACACGCACATAGACCTTCTCATACACCTATACTCACTCAACGTTCTTTGTATTTAGTTATATCCCCATTCGCAAAACGTAAAAAAAGTAAATAAGTGATTGTATACCTTCTTAAAAATCCTACCTAGCTCCCCCTATGTAATTGTAGGTAGGGGGTTGACCCTGTCTTTACTTTGCTGGCAGACCTCATCAGTTATAAACTCGATTTCAACACTGCCTACCCTAAAAAAGGGTTAAAGATCTCATGGCATCGTGATGTCATTGAGGGGAAACTGACTATGTCCCCACTTGTCCCTCTGAAATTGCTCAGAATAGCTTGCAGGCTTGTGTATAAACCCGCTTTAAAGAAACAACAAAAGAGGTTAGAAATATTTTACAATTATTTTTAGGTATGCCGCGTGAATGAGAATACATAAATAGTGGGGGATTTCTCAAATGTGATTGCAAAAGTGGAAATATACTTTAAGTAGAAAACCAACACATTGCCTACTATAGACGCTCAGTGGTTTGTGGTGTGAGTATACATGGATGTAAGAAGACTGAATATTCACCATTAGTATTACAATTGATGCAATGCCCAAGAAATCATCATTATGGATCATTCTCATATTGTGTGCCCTATTTAGCTACATACAGCAACAACGTGCTGGAGTTGATAAAACCCCTTAACATAAGAGAAGTTGTACGAGTTTAACTTTGACTTTCCTCTTGCCTTGATTGCTTAGGACTCTGTTATCCCTGCAAAACTACCTGAATCAGTGAAAGCAGGAGAAGCCGCTGCTAAGAAAACCCAGCCGAAGGCCAGGTAAGGGCCACTCTTGCCCAGGCCTTTCAGTCTACTCACTGTTCGCTTTTGTGGACAACCTGTTTGACACGACTTTGTTTTCATTTTGTAATATTATGAACATTGCACTATAATTAGTCATTTTTGATTGCAAGTGACGAATTTCTACTGTTCTATTTTACAGGCTCACCGATCCAGTTCCAACAACTGAAACCTCCATTGCACCTCGCCAGAGGCCCAAAGCTGGCCAGACTCAGCCAAATCCGGGGATACTTCCAATTCAACCAGCCCTGACCCCAAGGAAAAGGCCCACTGTTCAGCCTGCTGCTGCTACCCCTGGTATGTTTGTCTCTACAGTTCAGTTATTTCTGCATTTGAAGTGGAATGGTTTCTGATTTTTGTCATACGTAATATAGGACCAGCTGGAGGCATTCAGCCCACAGCCCCTGCTGTAGTTCAGCCTGCTGTGAAACCAGTGGCTCAGCCCCAACAGCAAGTGAAGCCTGCCCAGCCTTCCCCACAGCCTAACACCACAGTGACCACCACAGCTCAAGCTGCAGCAGCTCTGCAGACCCCAGCAGCACAGGCAGCTCAGCCTGCACCTCTTCCGCCACAACAGCAGCAGATGTATCTGAAGCAGCAGCAACTTCTTCAGCAACAGCAAGCGGCAGCATTGTATCAGCAACAGATGCTGCAGGCTCAGCAGGTGAGCATTATATGTTTTCATGAACAGCAATGATTACTACTGAACATATTACAACGTTAGTCTACCAAGCAGCTAAGTTTTAGAGAGCTGAATCATACATTTATTATATCATTTGGGGAATACCAGCAGTATTGCCTCCCCATGATAATATTTGGTTTTGTCACAGTATCTGGTAGCAGCATTGGAAGTCTCATTCTTTTGAAACATACAGTAGCAGATTGAGACGCCCTTCGAGGACATGCATGGGTTGACAGACCCACACGCTCACTGTAAGTGTCCCTGAGAGAAAGAGGTCCATGAATAACTCAGCCTACTGGCTTCTCAAGAAAACTTGATATATGACAAAACCAATAACAGGAGACTATGGGTCATAGTCACTGAGCCGTATTCCTCAGTTCCATCATCCCAGTTATATAGAAATTTCAACAATTCAGATAGGACTTCCAAGGCACCAATACAAGTCAGATCCACAAGTCAACTATTTTAATATATTATTCCATCATTTTATTACAAACTAGTCCATAAAATCATACAATTATTTTGCACAAAATCATTTGTAATCAATATCATATAACTATACAACATGTTATATGCAGCACACTATAGCCTCAGCCATGTGTTACCTGGAGTCCACACTTGATTGTTGTTATCTAGTTATTACCCAGACTCTAATTAGCACCTTGAAAGTGCTATTCAAGTTGTTGAAAAATCTATTCTCACCAAAACTGAAATTTTATTTTAGGTTTTATATTAAGTGTCATAGCTAGATCTACACCCAGCATCAGGAGATAGAAACACCACTTAATTTTATGTCTGTGGATGTGCTTGTCGTCGCAACCACTTTCTGGACTTATTTTTTTCATAATGTCTGCAATCATGACTCGGGAAGGTTGAAAGCAAAGCATTGCTAATATTAATAACTTAACAAATTTGTGTGAATGCCGTGGGCCTCAGTTATTTATGTATCTAATGGAAGAAGTCTCCAATTTCTATGCCAGTGAAGCACTGTGCAAACTGTTGGTGCTGTACACCGATCAGCCATAGCATTATGACCACTGACAGGTGACATTCACAGGTTACAATGACACCTGGAAGTGGGGGGGATATATTTGGCAGCGAGTGAACATTTTTTCCCCTTGAAGTTGATGTGTTGGAAGAAGAAAAAAATGGGCAAGTGTGAGGATTTGATTTAAGGGTCAAATTGTGATGGCTAGACAACTGGGTCAGAGTAACTCCAAAACTGCAGCTCTTGTGGGATGTTCCCGGTCTGCAGTGGTCAGGACTGACCAAAAGTGGTCCAAGGAAGGAAAACCGGTGAACCAGGGACAGGGTCATGGGCGGCAAAAGCTTGTTGATGTACATGGGGAGTGAAGGCTGGCTCGTGTAGTCCAATCCAATAGAAGAACTAATGCAGCTCACATTGCTTGAAAACGTTAATGCTGGTTCCAATAGGAAGTTGTCTGAATACACAGTGCAACGCAGTTTGTTGATTATTGGGGCTGCATAGTCGCAGACCAGTTAGGGTGCCTATGCTGACCAGTGTTCACCACCAAAAGCGCCTACAATGGGCATGTGAGCATCGGTACTGGACCTTCAGGGCAGTGGAAGAAGGTGGCCTGGTCTGAGGAATCACGTTTTCTTTTACATCAAGTGAATGGCCGGGTGCGTGTGTGTCGCTTACCTGGGAAAGAGAGCACCAGGATGCACTATGGGAAGAAGGCAAACTGAAAGAGGCAGTGTGAAGCTTTGGGCAATATTCTATTGGGAAACGTTGGGTCCTGCCATTCATGTGGATGTTAAATTTGACACAAACCACCTACCTGAACATTATTGCTGATCAAGTGGACCCCTTCATGGAAGTGGTATACCATGATGACAGTGGCTTCTTTCAGCTGGATACACAGCAAAAATGGTCCAAGAATGGTTTGAGAAACACAACAATGGGTTTGAGGTGTTTACTTGGCCTCCAAATTCTCCAGATCTCAGTCCAATCGAGCATCTGCAGGATGTGATGGAAAAACAAGTCCGATTGAATGGAGCCCTCACCTCGCAACTTAAAAGGCTTAAAGCATCTGGTACTAGTGTAGATTCCGTGTGCACATTTATTGTTTACAGTGCCAGCAAGCTCCTGTATTGCCTGTTACAACCTTTGATAGTTTAGTTACATTCTACTCATCCTCACATGGTTAGCATCTTTTATGTCACTTGCCCTTCTTTTTACATTTGTAAGCTTGTATCCCTCTTGTCTTGAATTGTATTGGAACTCTACTGCCCCTCTTTCATTTGCAAAGGGTTGCACAACTGTTGGTGCTATATAAATTCAATATTATAATAATATTCATAAGAGCACCTGAGGCTGTATGTTTTCTTCTCCTTGAAGGGTCAGTTGTAAATGACATGGGCAGCAGTAATGGTGTACCTAGCTAATGAGAGGCTGGATGAGGGTGTCCAGCTAATGAGAAAAGTGTGGAGGCATTATCTAAATGAAATGGAGTTATAATTTCTATTCTAGTTTATTACTGTAACAAATATAGATGGATTGTTGTTGCTTATACTGTAACTGTTTGTAATTCAAATGTCACTGTTCTTCTGTCCCACAGATACAAGCCATGCAGCAGCAGCAGATGATCCAGGCTTACTACCTTCAGCAGCAGCAGCTCATGGCCCAGCAGGCTGTAATGCAACAGAAAGTAGCTCAGCAGGCTGTAATGCAGACCCCCTTACCTGCTCAGCTCCAGGCTGTGCCAGCTGCTGTGCAGGTGCCCACTGCCCAGGACCAGGGGGTGAGTGCTGATGACAGATTGGTACAATGGTTGGTAATGTAGTCTTCACCACTGGCCCATATCGGTGTGAATGGCTATCTCATTTCTTGACATGGGCAGTATGGTCATTGTGCACTCTCTTATTTGCATTAGTTATTGAGCCACTAGAACCTAAAATTAGACCAAAAATGTTGGCCCATGTAAAACTAGTCTCACTGAGTGAACTCAAGGGACCTATTTATAGTGCCGATTGGATACGGCTATTCACTGTCCACTGGGAACTCTGCTTCTCTGAACTTCCTGTTGATTACTAGAGTACAAGGGACAGAGCAGTCTCCAGCAGCTGTCCATCTACTAGCTCGAAGAAGGGAGTAGTGGGGCACTGACTTGCCTTGCTGTGCCTCTGTGTGTGTGTGTGTGTGTGTGTGTGTGTGTGTGTGTGTGTGCATGTGGAGAGAGACACTGCTTACCTGCACACACAAGGGTGGCTCTATAGGACACTGCAAGTGAAAGCAGCCAGGAAACCTTTTAAACATCAAGGAGCAGAATTGTAAGAGCTTGAATCAGCATTTGAAATGGCTTAAAACCATTTGACTTTAATATAACTTTATAACAGAAAGCTCCTGAATCTATTGATCTAGGTCAAGAGATTGATCCCTCTGTAATTGTGCCAGTGTTAGCGGCAGAGTAGTATGGAAACTGGTACTATTCATTAAATTTAAATGCATTGTAGGCCATGTTGTGAAGCATGTGGTGTCCCACAGCATTTCTCTGTTTAATGCTGCAGAAAGAACTCTTTGGAGGAAACACTACACTAAACTCAGGCGTTAAATCTTAAAAATACATTCAGGTACCCTAAGGCCTGGTTCACACCTGGTCGTTTTACAGTGCGTTCCTACACTCTGTACAACGCTCAACATGTGAAAACAAATAATTGCCTATGGGCATGGTTCCCACCTGGGCGTTTTACAGCGGGTAGGAACGCGCTGAAAAACGCCCTATGCCCAAAGAAGTACAGGAGCAGTGTCAGCACCAATTCAGAGATGATTGGAGGATCTACAGCCGAGTGATACACAAATAAGATACATTGTTGTTAATAGTTCACGTACTTGAATGTATTTTTAAGCTTTAACTCCTTAGTTTAGTGTCACTTTAATTGAGTTAAATAGTGCTATGCTTCCCCATGAAGGAAACGGAACATAATGCAGATTTGTAAAGCACATCTTTAGCTGCTAATCGGCACTACAATATGCAAGCCAGCTATCCCACTTTATCAATGGCTCAGACTTCTTCAGGGAAACCTCTCCTAACAGACACTGTGGACTTTTGTGGAATTTGTAAGCAATTTAACCATGGGTGCAATTATTATTTACAGTCCTCAGATTGCTGTATAGCTTAGGGCTGTGCAAGGTAAGATCCTTACAATTAAATTTGCAGTTCTTAGCTGTGTTTTGATTGTTGCCCACATATAGTCATAGAGCCGAATAAGAGGTTATGGCAGCAAATCCTCTAGCAATAAGCCTATGTCAACACAGCTGGTTTTAGATAAGGAGCCAGATTTCACATGGCCATTGGCTGTTCCTAGGAAGTTATTGACATAAAGGCTATTAATCACTGGATGGTCTCCCTGGATAGGCATGCCTTCTTCTGAAGCAGCAATGTTAGAAAACCAATATAATAGGTAGAACTAGAAAAAAACCATTTGCTTTGGTAGTCCTTTGCATTGCTTACTATGTAGTGCTGATAATGAATTGCTGTCTTTGTGTGTGAATATTTTTGCTCTTGACCGCAAGAAATCTTTTCTTGCTTATTGCAGATCCAAGCTCCTGTAAGGGCCATCCAGAAACCACAGCCAGCGGCCAAACAGCCCAGTTCAGGGCCGAAATTGGGATCCCTTACTCCTCCTTCCTCTCCGAAGACCCAGCGTGGAGGACACAGGAGGATACTGAGTGATGTCACGCACAGCGCCGTCTTTGGTGTTCCTGCTAGTAAATCTACTCAGCTTCTCCAGGCAGCGGCTGCTGAAGCCAACCTCAATAAGTCAAAGTGAGAAATCCTGTTCCATACGCTGTGTCCAGTCTTCTACCTTTAGCCTGGGTCAGCCTGGAGTGTGTACAATGGGACATTTAGCAGATATCAATGTGCCATAAAAATGCCTATTTTTTTTCTTTAGCATCAAACTTCATGCAGCCAGCCTAATACACAAGTTAATTGCATATACACCCACTGTTTTACCTGCCAACAGATTTGTAAATTTGGCCAGCCATTCAAGTTATGCATACACATTTTCAGGTCATTAAGATCACTGTTTCTTCCTGGTTTAAAGGTGAGGATAGCACTTCACTGTCCTGTGAGATGATTTAAGGTGAATGACTCCCATAGTCCCAGTATACTTTTTTATTTATTTTTTAATCCTGAAATGCATGATACCTTGGGTGAGGTCTCTCCCTCCACCTCCGTCCCATGACAATGTTTCCCTATAAGGGAGCTTAGCGGTGGGTGAAGCAAATACTGTCAACCTGTCTACTGGAGGATTGCCCCAGATCTATGCAAGTGACGTTGGGGAATGTTCTTGTTCGGCCCTGTGGGAGTGCAACTGGTCAAATAATATTTTCTTAGCTACTTAACTTTGTATTGGCCAATTTTTAAAATGAAGGAGTTCTCTTACAAGGTGAGGTTTCACATTTATCCTAGACTTTAAGGCTGATCATGCAGATTTGGATGACCTTAAGGCTGATCATGTAGTGTAGGGAGACTTATCAGACAAATCACCCATCTAACATTGCTTTTTCTTACTACAAACCCTGAGGGAAAAGATTCTTTACCAGAATAAATTTGAGATTTTCAAGCATGGCGGACACCAAGTACTGTCACTGCAAGGTATCTCCATTGCATGTTTCTTGACCCCTTCATTAATACCTTGTGGTAGGGTCCCTACTAATGCTGCAATCAGTCCATTCAACACACACGGTTTGGCTGCATTCCTGTTTTGTTCAGGAATATATTATGTTTCAGGTTTCTTTTTTATGTTTTATTATTTTTCTTGTGCATCAGTAATCAGGCTGTGCTCTGTATTTTCTGTTGATAGGTCAGCTACAACAACCCCCTCTGGCTCACCGAGGACTTCCCAGCAGAATGTCCACAATCCACCGGAGCCTTCTGGCTGGAACCCTTTTGATGATGATAACTTCTCAAAACTCACCGCTGAGGAACTCCTAAACAAGGACTTTGCTAAACTGGGCGAGAGTAAGAGAGAACTTTACTGTTTGTGTTTAACTCTGTGATTTGATAGTTTGTGTTTTAAATGCGATGTGCACGTCTACATTTCCTTCACGAATCTACCTCCCGAGCAGGCATTAGGCAAGAGACCCCAGTAACCCGATCTTGTGGGGTCAGAAATTTGTTTTCTGCCTTGTGTTTTTGTTCCTTTAGTTCAACTCCGACTAGCAGTGGCACGGGGTGTTTAAATAATGACTGTGCAGTCCAATAGACTTCACAATTTGACTGTGCTGCCCAGTGCACTTCATGTTATAGCAGACCTGGTCAGACACACCCATATCCTTCTTACCAGTACAAGCATGTGTGAGGATGCTGGTGAATAAAATTGAGGCTATTGCGTAGCTATCCTAGAATATAGCACTGTATAGGGGTGAAGTAAGGGTGCATTTCCATTAAACTAAATGGTATTTGGTGGCATTTTCAAGGTGAAATTCATTAAAAATCCTAACATATGATGGTACGTGACCATTAAGGATCCAAAAGGTGTGGGGCTTCAGTTAGGCTTTAAGTTAAGTAGGGTATACATGTATTGAATTTCAGCCAGTTCATCAGGAAACTTGCACAGTGAGTGCCAGTGTTGGCACCCTTCCACCCGACATCCCTCAATCTGCTGATTTGAAGAAGCAGGCTGGAAAATCCTTGGACGAACATGGCTTGCAGCCATCGGCTACAAGTTCCTTTTCGGTATCCTGGCAGCAGTCGGCAACCACTGTCAGAATACAGTGAAAACAGGGGGGGATTCCTCCATCCATGCTGGTAAGCATGGATGGAGGAATATGTTGTATTTTCTTTGTTCACCCGGCAGGTCGAATGCAGAAAATATATGTGTATACCCAGCTTTAGAGCTATATGTACAGCCTTGTTGGTGTGAGAGTAACAAAGGTTTAAATACTTAAGTAATACAAATTGGTAAACTAAACATGAGATTGTAGTCCATCACTGGAGCGAGCTTGGAGCAGTGGCTACTTTACAACACACACAAGGAACATGGGGAATAAAAGTAGCCACCCTCCATAAGGAAGGACAGTGTCAGCACCAATTCAGAGATGATTTGAGGATCTACAACTAAGTGATACACACATAAGATACATTTTTGTTAATAGTTAAGTTACTTGAATGCAGTTTTAAGATTTAACTCTTGAATTTAGTGTCACTTTAACTGGGTTGATGCAAGTGCATCGATACAGCCAATAAGATACATTTCTGGTAATAGTTATGGTACTTGACTGTATTTTCCGATCTAACTCCTGAGTTTAGTGTCACTGTAAGAGTTGCAGTATTATTGAGGAAACTGATGTGCACCAAAGCTACCATTACCATTGAGCATTAAGGGGTGACTGTAAAAGTGGTGAATTTTTTTTTTTAGAATACTGAAAACCAGTCAATGTCTTCTCCCACAGTACTAGGTTTATCTCCGATATATCATTAGTTCTTTTAAATTATATCTGGTATTGTTATTCAGAGCGGTTTTATACAAATCGGCTGGTGATGTATGTTTATTCTCCCTTTAGGGAAACGGAACAGCTTGTAAAGTTTTTTTGAGGCTTGGGTGCTTCTTGTGCATTGTTATCCAGTCTTCGGGTGTTGTCTCTTATTACCTTCTCTCTTCTTGTCAGGTAAACCACCAGAGCAATTGAGCAGCTCATCGGAGGACCTGCTGTCCGGCTTCCCAGCACCCCCTGCCGTGTCTCAAGCGGATACCTTTGGCCCCTCTCTGTTTTCCAGTGGAACAGGTGATAAGTCAATCTTCATTCATAATTGGTGATTTATACATTTTACTATAAGCTGCCCTCTGTCAATATCGCCTTTTCACCTCTTTGTACCCCGCAGCTAGTTTTAATGGGAACCAGTCATGATGAAAATACTGGAGCTGCCATTGCTGGGACAATAACGGTGTCACCTGAAGTCTGACAATTAGTTTGTGAAGTTGTCGGACTTCACAAACTATCTATCCTCTTCTAAGTGTGAGGTTAGGCAGTTGACAGTGAATTTCAGGTTTCATATGGCCCCTAACCAATGACACTCCAGATGAAGTATCAGGTTAAAAAAAAAAAAAAAGGACAATTTCAAGCTTTTTATAAGTAAGCTTGCAAAATCTAAATAAAAGACTGAATATTTAGATTCCCACATTAACCCCGATGTGACTGGTTCTCTTTAAGGCTTTAATCAATCAATATACATGAGGGATTTGTCAACAGACCTGTCTCAGAAATACAGTTGATTCTCCAATAGAAGTGGCCAAGTTTTGACTTGTTTAGGTCCAGGTCCATGATGTCACTGGCTGTGAAGATGAATATCGTAAACATTATTGTCCTGTTAGCATTTAAGTTCACTTCAGGCCAGATACTAACACCCCATCCACACACCCACACTGCTTCTACTTGCCTTCACTTTGCTCCCCCACCTCTCCATTCACCCACAGGATTCTATAAAAGAAGCCATGCATTAACATCAATTTGCTCTTCTCAGAGCTTACCCAAGAATGAGGACTCTCCCCTACTCCCATGTGACAGCTTTGGTGCTTAGCTGTTAGCTGTTCAGAAGCCTATTGCTGCTTCATGGGAGGAAGTGTTTTGCATTAATGTCCTAACTGAAGGTATGTGAGTGTCATATATAGTGACAGGCAAAGCAGCCTGTGATGGAAGAAGCAAGGCACTTACCTGTACAGTGCCCCATGTGTTGAAAAGTCACCACTCTCTGGTGAGTGCATTTATTCTACACTTCTGGTTGTATTGAATACCTTCTACCCCGCTGCGTCTTCTGGTTTCTCCTCCCAGCTCGTCTGTCACCGCAAGAGGTAAAAGCAGTCGGGAGAAACCACTGTGTGGCGGGGAATTCATCCCACCCGAAGTGTCAGATACCCGCCAAAGAGCAGAGAAGCAACAGCATTTCAACACATGGGCTGCCAAAAAGTTTAGTATTAACCTTCTATTACAGTCTGCCTTGTTTGTAGAAGTGACCCGCCTGTGACGGACCCCCGTACTCAGGATGAGTATGTCCGCCGCTGTCTTCTTCCTTGCTGAGGAGAAAATCACAGGCAAAGCACAGGTTCACTTTAAGAGTTGTGAAATAGTGTAATTCTGAGACAAGTTGTTCACTGGTGGGATTCAGCTTATTTTAAGAGATAATCTGGGCTGTAGACCAGGGGTGGGCAACTGCAGCCCCTCCAGCTATTGTGGAACTACAAATCCCATGAGGCATTGCAAGACTGACAGTTACAGGCATGACTCCCAGAGGTATAGTCATGTTGGGATTGGTAGTTAAAGCACAGCTGGAGGGCCGGAGTTGCCCACCCCTGCTGTAGACAGTGATAAAGGAAATTATTATTATGCGCAGACATAAACATGAAGAATAATTACTGGAATGGAATCTCCATCAACTGATGACTGAATCCTTAATTGGACTTATCACGAACTGTAGAAGTGCCATTTTCAGTTATCTGGAGTGCTGTAAGAAGCGGCCCACTGTGCCAATTAATTAAGTCTCTGCACGGTGCCTGTACATTTAATGATAATGCAAGGGATCTTGGAGGTTCTGTATGTGTCAGCGACTTCTCAGCTATCCTATCTCACTTGTCTCTCTTTCCTGTTTTTTCCTTCTCTGCTTATTCCGTGCGTTGCCCAGCTGCGGATAAACCCGTAGACGCGCAGGGTCGGGGTCCCAGCCCTCCGCTGCACAAAACGCCTGACCCTTTCTTACCTCTCCCTCTATCTGACACTCCAGGTAAAATACTACGACAAGGAAACCACTACTAAAGGGGAATTTCTGACACAGCTCAATGTTATTTAATTCTTACTACCCCATTGTGTCTCTTCAGCATTAGTAGCACTTCCATAAAACTGTGAATCATATTTATTTTTTATTATTTTAACTTTATCTAGTGATCCTAAAATTGGATTCATTAGGTAAAGTCGTCCTTATGATGGTGTATGAAAACGCTTAGGAAGTGATCTATGAAAACTTTAGCAAAGGGATGTTCATATAAAGCAGTCATGTTTCAACCGCCATTCCTGCTCTCCTTTCCTTTGTTTTAGTTCTTATAAATCATCCCCCTAGTTTTCAGTGCATTGTGTAAATATACAACACCAAAGTGACCTCAAGGCAAATTTATGAGCTCTTGTGTCTCTGTAGCACCTACAAAAGGGCTCCTTGGCACACTTTCAAGCAAGCCAGCAAAAAAAATCAAATGTACTCTGGTTAGAATGGAAGTTTTAGCGTTTTAGTTGCACACATTTGTAAATACACGTGGAAGCCACACTGCCTAACTCTAAACCAGGAGTAGGCAAACTCTGCCCCCAACTGGTGCAACTACAAATCCTATTGGGCATTGCAAGACTCTTACAGCAACAGGCATGACTTCCAGAGGCAGATCCATGATGGGATTTGCAGTTTCAGCACAGCTGGAGGGCTGGAGTTTGCCTGCCCTTGCTCTAAACTATCAGAGTTTCTCAATTGTGGGACATATATATAGTACTAATACAGTATATAGTTAGCCCCAACCTCCTTAAAGGACCTGCCACCCTGTTGATGGTCAAAGTGGCATGTTCTTGTAAGAAAGGTTACTGTCCTAAAACCCAACGCACTCTTGAGCGATAAGGCCCTGAAGAACTATTGGTGGATGCTGTTGTGACAAGTGGATGGAGCCGCTCACATCAAAACATGGAGCAAATAAGTCACCGGTACTCCAAACTTTTATTGACATTTGACAAAAAGATTGTTTTGGGGCTGCCAAGGGGACCCTTCATCAGCCATACAGTGTGTCACAGTGTATGCCCAATGAAAGGTCCCGCTATGTCGTGATTTTTGTGACGTCGCGTTCAAATGTCAATAAAACGTTTCACTAAGGTGTTTGGAGTGCCAGTGACTTATTTTACTCCATGTTTTTGTATAGAAAGGGCACATGCAATGTGTTTGTTTTTTCAAACTTACAAAACTGCAAATGACCACTATTTTAATGTAACAAGAATAGTCACACAACCATATAAGTTGTTAAAAATACATCAATATTTGCATATCAATTCAAAGGAATCCTAAATCTGGTAGACATAATAGTCCTATAGTGTGTGGCATAGTGGTTGGAGCTTCTGCCTTGTAGCACTAGGGGTCCCTGGTTCAAATCACAGCCATAGTGACTTTGCACGTTCTCATTGAGCTTGCGTGGGTCTCCTCCGGGTACTCCGGTTTCTTCCCACACTCCAAAGACATTCTGGAAGGTTAATTGGCTTCTGTCTAAATTGGCCCTCTATGTATGCATGTGAGATAGGAAACTTAAGGTGCCCATACACTTTACAACCCTCGCAAGACTTTTGTCTTGCGAGGGTTGTAAAGTACTTAAAAAAACGTACGATCTGCCCATCTTGGACAGGCAGATCGTACTTGCGATGATTGCAAGGCGCTCCCCCCCGAGGGGCGGGCTTCCGGTGACTGCAATGCTGAACGGGCACACCGGCCCGTTTGGCTGTTGTCTCTCGATCATGTTAAAAACCAGCCGAAATTGTACGATTCTCTGCTGGTTTTCCAACATGCTCGAAATACAAAAGTCGTGCGACCGTACATTAGAAACAGTCGCACGCCTTCCATACATTGCCCGATTATCGTACGATCACGGGATTTCCCACGATTCTCCTACGAGAATCGTGCAGTGTATGGGCACCTTTACATTGTAAGCTCCTTGAGGGCAGGGATTGATGTGAATGTGCTGTGTGCAAAGTGCTGCTTAAATTGCCGGCGCTATACAAATACTAATAATAAATAATAATAATGCAAGAGAACCACCTATAGAGTACGCACAGTGGACTTTTTTTAGTACTATGCACACTACATGACTATAATGCCGACTGATTATATTTTTCTTTTAAATTGATATACTAATATTGGTGTATTTTTAACAGTTTAAATGGTCTTGTGACTATTGTGTTGACTTTAAACTCCTAGTAATTTGCACAATTTTGTAGTATGATAAACTGGGCTGTTGGTACCAGCTTTAGCTGAGGTCTTCTGCACATATGTAACATAATACTTTTTATATGTTCCTCAGTAAGTCATTTGTGCTGAAAGGGTATATTCACTGCGACAAGCAAATGACCACTATTTTAATGTAACAAGAATAGTCACACAACCATATAAGTTGTTAAAAATACATCAATATTTGCATATCAATTCAAAGGAATCCTAAATCTGGTAGACATAATAGTCCTATAGTGTGTGGCATAGTGGTTGGAGCTTCTGCCTTGTAGCACTAGGGGTCCCTGGTTCAAATCACAGCCATAGTGACTTTGCACGTTCTCATTGAGCTTGCGTGGGTCTCCTCCGGGTACTCCGGTTTCTTCCCACACTCCAAAGACATTCTGGAAGGTTAATTGGCTTCTGTCTAAATTGGCCCTCTATGTATGCATGTGAGATAGGAAACTTAAGGTGCCCATACACTTTACAACCCTCGCAAGACTTTTGTCTTGCGAGGGTTGTAAAGTACTTAAAAAAACGTACGATCTGCCCATCTTGGACAGGCAGATCGTACTTGCGATGATTGCAAGGCGCTCCCCCCCGAGGGGCGGGCTTCCGGTGACTGCAATGCTGAACGGGCACACCGGCCCGTTTGGCTGTTGTCTCTCGATCATGTTAAAAACCAGCCGAAATTGTACGATTCTCTGCTGGTTTTCCAACATGCTCGAAATACAAAAGTCGTGCGACCGTACATTAGAAACAGTCGCACGCCTTCCATACATTGCCCGATTATCGTACGATCACGGGATTTCCCACGATTCTCCTACGAGAATCGTGCAGTGTATGGGCACCTTTACATTGTAAGCTCCTTGAGGGCAGGGATTGATGTGAATGTGCTGTGTGCAAAGTGCTGCTTAAATTGCCGGCGCTATACAAATACTAATAATAAATAATAATAATGCAAGAGAACCACCTATAGAGTACGCACAGTGGACTTTTTTTAGTACTATGCACACTACATGACTATAATGCCGACTGATTATATTTTTCTTTTAAATTGATATACTAATATTGGTGTATTTTTAACAGTTTAAATGGTCTTGTGACTATTGTGTTGACTTTAAACTCCTAGTAATTTGCACAATTTTGTAGTATGATAAACTGGGCTGTTGGTACCAGCTTTAGCTGAGGTCTTCTGCACATATGTAACATAATACTTTTTATATGTTCCTCAGTAAGTCATTTGTGCTGAAAGGGTATATTCACTGCGACAACTCTCGGAGCAGTGTAGAGCAGCATATGCCATTATAACTATCACTAAAACTGGCCACCCACATAATTCCCATTATAGCTATACCTAGAATCAGCGTGCAAGGGACAACCTGGTTGCTTGTAAATGAAACGTATTGTTTAGCTGGGTTGTTGATTTACAAAGCTGTTAACTCTAAAGGAGTTTGTACAAAAAACTGTATGATCCGATGGTCCGTTTTAGGCTGCTTTGAGACCTTTCTGCTGCATTGCACTGTTAATACATAGGCAGTAACATACGCTGTGATAAGGCAGTCCATTTTGTATAGGCCCATGCACCTCAGTGCAGGTTGTAATGCAACTGCAGTGTTTTTATTTCACTGCAGAGCACCACAACACACAGACGGTTCACATGGAGCATTGAGTGCCCATGGATTGTGGTGTGCTGGTCACGTCCATAGGGGTGTCATTCAAAATGAAAGGCATTTGCACTGTCCATTCTGTGTTACTGTGCAAGGTGGTAATGCCCATTACAATGTGCCTTTTTACTAGAATACGCAGCTTTGGCCTTGGGGTATTTGTACACTAGCGGGTCTCCGCTTTAGATTATCCAGTTAAAGTAACTGAGCTTTTGAGGTGATGGCTTGCTGAAAGGAGAACTATGGGGTTAAGTCTTTTCCCCATAGTTCTCCTTAGGGTAACGGGAGGACACAAACTAGCATCCTCCCGTCACCCTAGGCTCAGTATACCGCGAGCTGCTGCTTGTGGTATACTGAGACACGGCAGCTGAACCAGATCCCGACAATTGTGCCGGGATCCGCCCAGCTGCGTGACTGACAGCTGGCTCTGCCTATCTAGAGGCAGAGCCAGCTGTACCCGCCCCCTCCCCCGTCCGATCCACCAGTCAGCGCTGGCGGATGGGAGGGGGGAATCCAGCCCCCCCCCTGTCACGGCAGAGAGCTGTGACAGGATCGAGAGGTGAGCGAACGCGGGCGGCTAGAACTATGAGGTGAGTGAAAAGCACTCACCTCATAGTTCTCCTTTTAATGCTAGAAGGTCAGGTCGTTGTACTTTGTGTTTTTTTAACTCTATAAAAGAATTCTCTATTTAGCAGTTGTACATTTTAAGTAAAAATAATAACAGCACAATGTTGAGATTTCCTCCCAAGAGTTTCCTGAACAGGTTACATTTCCTTGGTCCCTCAAATGTACTCCGTAGACCACACCATATACTATCCTAACCTGTCAATGAACAAATAAGGAGTTGGAACTAGTCCAACTATGGACAGGCTTTGGAGTGATCATTCATGGTGTGGGTATCCTAATGTGGGAGGTTTAACCTCGCCTGCTTTTTTGTGTCCTAATATTGTATACATTGTTTTTGTGACCATGCCTTATTAGCGTTCATAGCACGCCATTGTATCTGCATGGACAAGCTGTGATTTCAGACACATTTTAGATAGGTCCTGACATTGCACTCCTATTCTGGGATAAAAGAGCAGGTGGATCATCTTGTCCTACAAAGAATGGCTTTTTATTCTATTGTGACCCAACAAATTCCACTACTGTTATCATGCATTCAACCAATGTCGGATTTTATACTGAACCTGAATTATAGCATGAAAGCTAGACTTCGACTGGTAACTGTTGGCAACATCTATATGTTATTTTTATAGTTGAGTTGAAGTTACGCAAATAGACATATACTAACATCCTCCCGTGACCCAAAGCTCAGTATGTCGCAAGCTATAGCTTGCGGTATACTGAGACCGCCGCAGCCGGGACGGATCCCGACATTACTGTCTAGATCCACCAACCAGCTGCGTGAGTGACAGCTGGCTCTGCTTATCTAGAGGCAGAGCCAGCTGTACCCGCGCCGTCCCCGTTCCTTTTTTCCACTCAGTGCTGGAGGATTGGAGAGGGGAGGGGGGGGGGAATCCCTGTGGGGAGCGGTGACTGACGGTCACTGACTGTGTTCTCTCACTTCTTGATCTATTGAGCCAACGCGCTACAGTTTCATTGTCACACGTCGGCTCGAACTATGAGGCTGAATGATTTTCAGTCACCTCATAGTTCTTCTTTAAACTGACAATCTCCCTTTTCCTAGTCTTAATTCCTCTCTCATGTTACAGCTGGAATGGAAGGTGTCCAAATGCTACTGTGAAGTCTAATAAACTCCAGAGTTTGGATCCAGTGCCCTCTGTAATGTAACAGGCCTGATCAGATATGCCTCCTCTCCTCCTACTTTGCAATACAAGTCTGTGTGATGACCCCTGTGCTGAGGGTTGTGGCTGTTATTCGGCTCCTTCAGCACAGGACACCCAGTGTGAGGGTTGGAGGCAACATATTTTTTTAAGAGAAAACATTTAAGTTTAATGCATATCCTAGCAAACTGTAGTTACAACTCAGAACATTTTAAAGAACATAACTGTAAGAAATAAAACTGTGTAAAACTTCAGCTGGGCTTTATTTTGGTTTTCCTAGGCCACAATCTGCTGAAATCTGCATGTGGTCACAATTTGTCTCATTTATCAAAGTGTCAAAAGCAATAACTAGCTGAGTTGCCATATGTCATCCATCAGGTTCAAACCAGAAATAATTATGTGTAACACAGACTCTTCCTGCTACTTTAGATAACTGATGCTCATTAGTTTTGTATTAGCTGTAGTGTTTGGAATCCAAAATTGTTGAAGGATGTTAGATTTAAGGCCCATTCACAGCATTGCGGTGCATTAGCACACACATGTTAATGTTTGTTGTGTGAAGGAAGCCTATTTATATGAATGGGCTACATAAGGAACTAAATAGCACCAAAAAAAGGTGCTGTATTAGGCACTGCACCGCAATGCAGGGCACACAGAATGATTGGCACCGTCTCATACTAATGTGCTGTAATGCTGTATGAACAGGATTTTAAATTTGCTAAAGGTTGCGACTGCTGCACCTAATTGGATGCTCTATGTCAGGCGTAGCCAAACTCCGGCCCTCCAGCTGTGGTGAAACTACAAATCCCATGATGCATCTCTCTCCAGAAATCATGTCTGTGGCTGTGAGAATCTTGCAATGCCTCCTGGGATTTGTAGTTCCACCACAGCTGGAGGGCCGGAGTTTGGCTACCCTTGGTCTAGGTGAATATCGAAGGTTTATATAAAATGCTGTTTGATAAATGGGGCTCATTGTGCTATTACCTGGCCATCTGCAATAGCCTTTTTTGCTTCTTTTGATGCGTGTTATCTCCTATGCTTATCCTCCTACTTACGAATGTTCTTTTGTATCCTCCCGCCCTTCTCTCATTTTCTTTTTGCCTGACCCAGAAAAATTGATTGAGGGTCTCAAATCTCCAGAGCCCCAGCTTCTGCTGCCTCACCTTGTACAGCTGGCAGATCCCTTTGGGAGCACCTCCGAGGCTTTGAATGGTAAATACAGAGAAATGGGGGTAGACTAGACCACTCATGAGTGACATTTAAGCGTGCCTCTTACTACAGACTGCAGAAAGTCTTCTTTGCTTGACTAGCAATTATAAAGCTTTTTTTTAAACTTAACCTAGAAGGGATAATTTGCTAATAAAGAGAGCCTGTAAAGTAGCAGTAGAAGACATTGTATGCTCAACTCTCTAGCAGCCTAATTCTTCCACTTCTCTATTCGGAGCTGCAACCTCGCAAAGCCAGGCATTCGACACTTCTGGGAGTGTTCACTGCCACATGCTGGTT